CAAAACGCTGCCAATACGCCATTACACAGTAGCTGGAAGTTAGAAACACGTTCAGCGCTCGTCTGGAACACGTCAGATACCTTGATATGCTTGGAGAGAAGTTCTGGATAAGTTACGCAGAAGTTACTCAGAGGTTTAGGATCAGCTAGACGCCACGACTGATGAGGAACTGACACTGAACGGATGACAACCATCAGATAACTGACCTGGAACTGATGGCCCATGTATAAAACGTAGTTGACGTATGTCAACATTTTTCAGCGTCCTTTAGCGTGCTCATTACTTATACAAACCGTACCCATAACTTATCCAACATATGCCAGCGTTTTTGTTAGACTTTTCTTACATCAGGCATACGCTGGTCTAAATCATCAAGGTGTGACAGGGCACTGAGATGAAGGCAAACATCAGCATAAAGCCAGGATGCAATCGTTAGCAGAAAGCTGAAAGGTTTTCCTGTACCTCTGTCAGAGTTGCTGGGTGCCTCGTCTGAATACTGGTATGGATACTGCAGAGGCTCATCTGATCCCGGGAAGTACTGAGGGAGACCAGAGAGAATAAACAATCTGAATTCTGTTTTAACCCATGAAATACTCACATACCACCAGCTGTGCATGAACAGCATCCACTGATCCTAAGAGGGGATTATAGGCGGAGCAAGAAGCAATAAAAACAAACCATTGTGACTGTGACTGGGCTCCTCTGAGACCCTACTGGGTTCCTCATCTAAACATCTGAAAGTTGGTCTGTGGTCAGATGAATCACAGCCTCATCTAACTACTGCTGCCCTCAACTTAAACCTTTCCTTTGTGGATGGCCGCTCACACTGAGCCTGGTTCTGCTGGAGGTTTCTTCCTGTTCAAAGGGAGTTTTTCCTCTCCACTGTCGCTACAAGCATGCTTAGTGTGAGGGATTGCTGCAATCAGCTGGTTTCCCTTAGATAGAAAACTTTGAATCAATGTGACTGGATGATCTGGTGAACTGGAAAGTGCCTTGAGATGACATGATGTGAATTGGCGCTATAGAAATAAACTGAATAGAATCCTTTTGCCTTAACCACCTCTCAATCTAGCTCACAAGATGAATGGTTTGGTGCAACTGTTCATCACTACAAGAACTATGATAATCAATCCACAAGGATAGAGAGAATATAGCAACACAATCACATGCTTTTATATGTTCTTTACAAAATACATTTAAACTCTAAAATATACATGTTTCTACTGGGGCCGAATGTTTTTGCCAAAAATCTGCAATAATTTTGCGGTTTTATTTTGAGTTTATTTGTACAAACCCCAGGCTTGTAGATGTTTCACCTCAAACTTTCAGGTTTTCAGAGCCTGCTTACCCAGAGTGCATTATTACAGGACTTCACTGTTATCATTGTGTTAAAAAGGGTTGATTTCTACCTGCATGCATGGATCTGCTACTACGCTCTCTACCTTTCTGCGTGGCAACCAACACACTCCAAGAGCTTAAACACCACCTAAAGGGCTGGAGGGAGGAATTTAGGGGCTTACACTTGTTAAATATAGTGTGATTAAAAATCAGTGCCTCCGCAATTTGATTATTGCCTTTTGTTAAATTGCGTTTATATTGCAAATGAAATATAATAATCATAGTCATTCTAAAAAAGTAAAAAAACAATCCACTGGACTTTGTTTCCAAGTTTAAAGACGTTTCTGTTCCATACAGGAAGCTTTTTCAATTCAAAATGTCAGAAATAACGTTGAGTTCCAGGTTTTATGCAGCAGCCCAACAAAGCCTTGCAAATAGAAACGGATGAACGGGTCCCCTCCTTTGGAATGGGGGTCGTTTGGGTTCTTTGTCGACCTGTAATACCCCATACCTGTCTATGTCTCTGAAAGGGGGGTCATTAGAGGGAATAGTTGGCCTGGCTGAATAGGCGAGGTCTTCTGTTCCCCTGTAACGGGGAAAAGAAGCAACTCAACGGATGGATGGACTGATGGTTTCTAAGATCAAACCTTAGACTGGTGATTGGGCTGAAATGGATCCCTCCAACTGAGCTGAAACGCTTCAAAAAGTTAAATTCTTGTTTAACTGAGGAAATTTAGGAAGAAATTGAACCCTCTCCATATGCTCGTTCCACACTAGTCTGGAGAAAGGTTCCTTTCTAAATGACTGTGCCATGAGACAGCCCACAGGGGTAAATTAGCAGCTTCTGTTCTCTGCAGCTGCTGAGCAGGTGGAAGGCTGCCTCAGGTTCATGACGGTGCAGATGGCAGAGCAACGGGAGATGATGTTTTACCTTCATTAGGTGAGTCATAATCTTGACTATCTCCTCCATGGAGGGCCGCTGAGACGGGTCTTTGGACCAGCAGCGTGTCATCAGGCTTTCAATGGGTTTAGGCAAATTCTTAATTAGTGGCGGTCTTGTACCTGAATGTAGAAAATAAATAAATAAGTAAGTTCAAATATGAGCCTTAAACCATAAGGAAAAAAAAAAAAAAAGAGAAATCCAACTGTTAACATCCTTGGTCCCTAGAATAAGAAAGTTAAAAAGAGGTACCAAGAACTGCCTATAATCAACTAAGAGACGTTGTCAGAATCAGACAGGATTTACCGCCTGAAAAAGCAGATGTCCTCATCAACATGCTGATTAATGCCTGCCTCCTCTGATTCTCTGAAAGCGCTTCAGAATGCAGCTGCTAAATTTGATCCAAAATGGGAAAATATGAGCATATTATTGTGGAAGCCTTTACTGGTTCCCTTGTCGGGTTTGAGCAGATTTTAAGCCCTTGCAGCTCATCTGCAAGACTCTAAATGGTCTGAAAACGTTCTATTTCTCTGTAGGTTCCCCATGGTGCTCTCTGGTTCTGTAAGCTAGAGGGAAACCTGTCGGGGGGGAGGAGCTGTTTCCCTTCTGGGGCTCACCCTTGTGAAACATAAGCCCCATTTCCACTACCCTATAAGAACCGATGCGTGCCAAGGTTGGATCAGTTAACCGTGCTGAACTTGGTTCCTTATGACCGTTTAAAGGCCAAGCTAGCACGGTTCCTCGCCTCCTAGTGGCGATCTACGGTACTACTGCTCTCTAGAGGGAAACAAGCAAACCCACATGGCGGCGCCCGTAACATTCATAAAGTGTGCGATGATTCTTCTCCTGACGAGAAGAAGGCAGCCTTTGGTGAATTTACTTGACAGAGTCGGGTTTGGGGAAGTGGATACAACAAACGATAGTCTAATCAGGGCTCAGAGACGCAGGAAACAACGACAGATGTTGAGGCTCATCACACTGCTAAACAGAATCATGACTGGAAATCGTGTGGCACGGTAGGGAAGCTTGGATTTTTATGAATGTCTGAAGCTTCATGACTACGGAGACTGACTGTAAGGAGATGAGGTGTTCTGCTCATGAGCTCTTTGCTATCCAAGAACCGAGCCAGAACTGAAACTAGCCCTACTGATGAACTAGTACCAGTTTAGAGCGGTTCAGTTGTGTCTGGCATGGTCTGGTTCAGTTGTGCATGCCACTTACACTCAACAGTTACCTTTGTTACCATGCTCGGACCGATCTCAGCACGGTTTCTAAGGGTGGAGTAAATGGAGTTTTTAAAACCAAGTTAAATTCCCACTAATTCACCATGTCTTGTGCATCTACATTTTATTATTCAGTTTTATTGTGTTTAACTGGATTTTTATTTCTCGTTTATCTGTTTTAATAATGGTCCAATTCTAGACTGTTTTCTTATTCATCTTTATGCTTTAAAACTAAAGTAGGGCTGCTACTGACAATTATTATGCAAATTGATGAATGTGTCCATTATTTTTGATTAATCAATTATTAACCAGATAGATTTATATTGATTTATTTGAAAGGGAAAGTGTACATTAATAAGCATTCCTTCAAATGCACCAGAATGAGCCAAAAGGCTATTTTTCATCTGTTCCCTGGACAGATCTTAAAACCGTCTACCTAAAAACACAACAGTAAGAATTTTACAGTAAGATTTTAGGTTAATAAAATAAAAAAATAAAATATATATATTTATATATATATATAT